GAGTCTTTGAGACCGTCTTCGGGATTACTCGAAACAATCTACTATAGTATTGCTATAACAATATGAGACTGCCGTCGGATAAGGTTATCATCGCACGAAGAATTTCATCAAGGTCATACAGCCTAGTTTGCTGATACATCTCTGAGTCAGTGTTCGACTCGAAAGCGTAAATCTCTGACGCGAGAATCTCTGAGCCACTTTGTGAGCCACCTTAACTAGAACAATGGAATTCCTTAGATTCGGCGCATTGATGAACGGTTTGGTGGTTCCTTGCGTCCGAACACGTGTTCCTTGGCATTTCGCTCGTTCTTAGCGCCGGATCAAAAAAATCAATTCGATACCATATCCAGAAGATGGAATGAGATCAAGGTTTTTTCGCAATTAGTGCAATTCAAGAAAAAAATCTGGTTGACAGTTTCGGAAAGAAAAAAAGTTTAAAAACAAGTCTGACACAGAGAAACTGAGACCGAGGAGAAAAAAGCATCTGTCCATTTCATTGTCAACTTGCTCGGAGGAAGCAGGATTCCAAGAAGATAAACGATTTTCTGAGGAAAAAGATAGGGGAACGGGTTTTTCGACTCGAATAAAGTAAAATCAAATTTGGGATTCCAGGGGCGTCTTGCATTTCTTCACATGCGCACCGAACACCCTTAGGTGAGAGAGAGAGCAAGCCTCTCTTTTGTAAAGTTATAACGTTTGAAGTAGCTCCGGGTTGCACAGGTCGCACCGGAGATAGTGGACGCTGCGGTAAAATTACCCGCGTGGCATGTCAACACACACGAAAAAATGATCATCTGTTTATATATACAGTATATCTAGTTTTTTTTGCGTGCGTGCGTGCGTGTTTGTTGGGTACATGCTCATGTGAATCGCACAGATTTGATTACCAACAAATTTTTTGGGGACCGCAACCATATATAAACTTGTGATGAAACAAATTTGCCTTCCTTCAGGCATTGTCATTGTGCGCATGAAGCGGAGACGTCGCGGAGAAATATTACAGTGAACCTCGGGTGGGTTACGTTATCAGGCCAGGGTGGCATCGAGATTTCTCTATGGTGAAATTAGTTATACGTTTGTTTTACCGTTTTACCAGTTTTTTCCAAAATCGACCGACAATTGGAGGAAGCGAACTGTTTATTTTACTAGTTTTTCCCAAAATCATCTGACAATTGAAAAAGGTCTACTGGTTTCACCCAAAACCAATTGACAATTGCAAAACGAATTGAGCGCAGAGTCAATCGAGGAACAATGTGCGCATCTATTTTCCCAAATCAAAATGACAATTAAAAATCGATCTTGTGCAATGACGAAGAGGGTAAGAGGGTAAACCAGTTAGTATGACATGCCGAGCGATTCCTTTCAATGCATTTCCTTCACTATGAAGTGGACAGCTAATATGATGATGCCTTTATTGGGTTTCCGCAAATTGCGATTGTTCCACAGCCACCCATCACCACCAACCAACCAAATAAAAAAAAAAGTGCATGTCACATGATCAATTTGATGAAGAGATGTTCACCTGCACCATTCCGAAAGACGCAAACATCACGCCATCGGTAGGCAGATCGCAAAGTACGACATTTCTCGCACGTATCGCGATTTAATCATAAATCAGTTCGTTACAGTACATCCACACCATATCGATAATTACCTAATATAATACCATTTTCAAATAAATTTACGTAAATATTATCTGTCTGTCATTCAAGTCTGTCACCGTGATCTTTGGGAGGGTTACCAATAACAAAAATTTTTATGAGAATGTCCATGACATAACAATGACGGACCGTATGAGAAGAAATAGGCGTTTTTCACGTTTGACTATCACGTTATATCGTGATGAATTCAAATGTTTCAGTTCGAAATAATAAAGAAGCAAGCTTGTTATTGTGCACCCATGGCAACGGCCCCAATGTCGTAATTTTTTTTGTATAAAGTGACGGGATGCTACATTTCCCTACGTTACCGTGCTCACGCGCATACACACACACTACGCAATCTCTCATTAATTTTTTAGTTAACATGTGATGTCGTACGGTGATTCCGGAAGGAACATCCATGTTTTTTCCCTGAGTTCAACCGCATTCCCATAACTGCGTGGTCTGCTGCGGAGATATCGCGATGGTACTTTGTACACTAATTTAGTAATAATTGATTCTGTCATCTTACGAAAGAATGTTCGCAGCATAACAAAATTCTCCCAGGACCCAAGAAATCGATAATAATTTTCGGTCCGCCGTGATAACATGAGCTGGTCGCACAATCATCAATTGGTACCCACACCTTCCTTTCTCGGAAGTAAGCGACGCGTGATGAATATGCCGGTCGACAAGGGTTCGACGGCACAGCTCGTCAAATTCCCATCGCCCATCTCCCATCGCCCATCCGCCACCGCCGAGAAATGAAAGTCACCTGTTTTTTCTGCAAAAAAAATAAGTCGCGTGCAAATCATAACTGCGAATTCGTCGTTTATGACGCACACGAAACACCAAATCAGGCATCACCCCCTGTTTCACTTTGACAATCTCGTGAGACCATTATTAAACAAGAAGCGGCTAAGTGAAGAGGAACCAATTTTCGTGGCGCATCCCCTTTCCCCCATTATCTCGGTTCCATTATGATTGCAAGAATGGCAGTGGTCAAAGAATACGTCGTAGGCAAAAAAAAAAAAAATGAAATCAGTATAATAGCCTATACACTCAATATAACCTATTCAAAACAATAAGAATAGCATGTGCACATATTGATAGGGTGAACGTCAATCGGCTGACAATAGATTATAGATTACCGAATACCGAGAATAAACGACAAAACGTTCAACAGTATTGTTGTTGCGTCACGAGCGAATCGGAATATTAGGGAATGGTATCACACCTGCATCAAACCAGATTAGGAACATGCAATTACCACATAGCAACAATAACAGCGTGTGATTGAAATTAAATTCCTATTGTTATTTAAATCAATTTAACAATAGCGCTTGTAAATGATAGATAATATGTTCAAGACAAAGCGCATTCATCTTTTATAACATTTGCACTTACCGATAACCTGTTCCCATTGAGTGGAATTCTTTGTTTGACCTTCGAATGTGTCCAAGGCGAACAGACAAACGGAGAGCGAGTGCGGAATTGTTGGGTTACATGTGTACCAATTGAGGCGTTTAATATTTTAAGTGAGGTACCAGGATGCACGGTGGGTGAACAGGTGAGCGGGGTCATTGGCGTGCGGAGACTGGGAGCAATTCGGTAGGAAAGTGCTGATATGAAGGTCACAAAGTTCTTGCGTGAAAAAGGAATGTGATTTAAACGAGAGCATAGAATGAAGCCAAGAAATTCATGACCCAGGAACGAATAATGACATAGAAAGAAATTATGCGTGTATGTGTATGCGTGGAGTTAATAACATATGTGAAGGATGCGGTGCATTACATGCGATACAACATACACGTAGGCGAACAGACGAAATGAATGAATGAAGAAAGTGCATTCACCTTGCTGATTAATTGTGCTCAGGAAAAGATCCTGTGAGAAGGCACACCTCATCATCCGCGCATTTACAAACAAATAGGTCAGTTGTTTTCATTTCTTTCACGACGCCAGTTTGAACGACGGAATTTGCCACAATTAAATCGCAGGTCACAACAATCCACCATCATCATCATGATGTTTGATGGCTGATTATGCTGCACGGGGACACATGTGCGACGGTATTCTAGGCTGAGGGAAGTAAATAAATAATGAAGAATGACCACCGACGATTCCTATTATTTCGATTTCTTACCGAAATTTCGGCAAGTTCACTGTTTGTTATAATGAGATGACGAACTCCATTATCATCGTTGAATAGGAATTTTCTTGGTATAGTTCTCGGTCAAGCCTCAGTGGTGTTTAGGGTTCATTCAGAATGCTGGTGCTACGTACTTCACATTTGAATGTTTAAGGTTTTTACGGCAGACTGAGAATGATGTTCTCGAACGATGATTGATTAATACGATGCACTATTCGTTGCCAGATTAGTAGGTCAATAATGAACAATCTGTCACCACAAGTTCATTCAATCATCACCGAGTGATCAATGGGATGATGGATGCATCGTCATTCATTCAAAGAAACCAAAACCAAATGCAATAAAAAAACATTAAAACATCAATGATATGGTTGAATGAGGGGATACAAGTATCAAATTAGAACTTAATCAAATATGTAAGGTGTCGTAATGTACTGACATACCGTTGGCACGAGTGAAAAATGTGAAAGTTTACTCAGGAGAAAAACGAAACCGTTCCTGGTGTAATACACACATCAATCGGTGTTGAGCAAATGAAAGAATTTTTGTTAAATATGAATAACTTTTCAATTATCAAGCCATGCTTTCTTTGGGAATTGAAAAAAAAACAATTCATTTGTTTATGAACCTAAAATGTTCGTTGGGACCGAATGATGTCTCACCTGTGTCAAAAATAAGAATTTACGGTAAATTCACGCAGATATTATTTATTATCTGAATGACCAATTGACTTTTATGACCCACACAAAGAAAATTCATAACGACATATAACATATGTTAATGATATTTTAAAAATATGTGTTAAATAATTGAATGTTGAAATGGGAGGATCAGTGAATAGTCACCTTCTTGGATAATCAATATTCAGCTTGCCCAGTTAAGATTTGATTTGATTTGATTTAATGACGTTCGTACGCTTAACTCGGGTGAATAGTCATTTCAACGATGACGAGATTCATTCATCCATCCATTCATTCGTCGTCAACTATCGAGAACATTCGTGTATCACATAGGCCTGGATCGGGGAAAGAACATTTTCTCTTCACCAACGTCTGTCGTTCGGACAAGAGTTGGGAAAAAGGTCAAGACAAGAGCATTATCACAACCTCGAACTTTTTTTGAGCTTATCAAAATTTGGTACAAAAATTCAATTTAGAGTTATTTCGCTCATTAATGATGGTTTAATGCGGGGAACCAATATCCTAATTATTTCCTTTCGAAACCAAATATCATGTAATCACCAAAATTACGCTCACATAATCGGAGAGTATGTACAAACTCAATCGTCTATACCTTATTCTATTCTTACCACGTAGTTGACTCAGTGACAACCTGGTTCCATCGCCAACCCTGAATTCAACAATCGTCGTTGTCATCAGAAAAAAAAAAAAAAAAAAAAAAAAAAAAAAGGAACGTTGCATGATAACCAAAAATAGCATTTAACCAGCAATCAAACAAATGTGTGCCCATGAGAACCCTACAAGCCGTATTTGGAAAATGGAAACGTGGGCTATTTGATTATCGTTATTACTATTATTTTTCGGGATTGACAAATGTTAATCATGGAATGGGAAGTACTGCACGTCTTTTAAAAGACGCCTCAGACTACTTGCGATAATCTCACAATTATCAACTAACCCAATCACCTCGTGTGGCTTCGCATGTTTATAAAAAAACAAAAAGGTCGAAATTGATGGTTGGTTTGGAACCGCTTTGTGTTTGCGAAAATCAGGTCTATATTTTTTGTTTTTGTTTGTTTGCTAGATGTGCGCAATACGGTTAAGTGATTTTATTGAATAACCTCATGGCATCAATCACGATACCTCTTTGAATAGTTGCATGATTCCTTAGTTTATTAATGACAGTTACCAATTGAGTACGATCGATGAAATTGATCTTCATTCATTCATTCAAGACGAGGATGACGATAAATGCGCCATTTGTCTCGTCCGTCTTCTTTGTAGTCACACGACGGCTCGCCTTCTCCCCTTGAACATCAAACAATAAGTAATTTAATTCATTGTCATTTCGTTGACTCGTTGGGAAAACTTCCTTGCAAGCAGTCAGCTTTCTGTGAGACCAATTTAATTAACGAAAAGGAGATCGAATTTAATAAGCTCGACTTTTTTTTTTTTTTTCATTAACAATGATTGCCTCGCATTTCTTTCCTTGCAATTCTGGGTTCAACCGATGATGGCATTGGTGGCATCGCAAATAATAATTTAATATCGACAGACATTAATTCCTTCACGCACTCCGCATGTATCCCTTCGCTTTGCTTGAAACCCGTGCTAATTAAAGGTCGGTAAATTCAAGGGGTCAGATGGTTTCTCCTGAAAAAACCATTGATTTTGTGTGAATGACCGACGATTGTGATCATTTTTGTCAAACTCTTGGGTACCAATCGCGTACAATGATTATTGTTCTTTAATCACCAAAAGCTATTTTCACTAGGACTCTCCGCGTGATGCAACCTAGTCAAATGTGATATATTATTATCTGGTCAAAGCAATATACCAACATAGATCTGCGAGTGCTTAACCGCTTATGGAACTGAAACTTCGATACCTGACACGTTATCTCAAAAAATTTCGGAAAAGGCGCGCGCCCCAACGATAAATACTTACATGGCATCATGGAGCGGCATCACAATTATTACATGGACATTGTGTGAAGCGACCTTTCTAGGAAATGGAATTTCCTGAATCAATCCATATTTATGCGACCCGCAGCGATCCTGTGATCGATACGCTTTTTTTTTTTTTTTTTTTTTTTTTTTTTTAAGCTTCATTATCAAATTCGAGATTCAGCCGTTCGCATAAATTTTTTTGATATCACGTTCACTGACCTGTCGCGTGTGTTCGCTCACATTCAACATGATAATAATCACCCACGACTTAGTTTCCAATAATAGTCCGGGGAACCTGTGATGTTGACGGTGATTCCTGGATTACCTTTGATTTGTCACGAGGGTCATCTATGTTTAAGTGTAATTTAATAGAATCAGGGTACCCATGAGAAAATCTAGAAATGTTTAAGATGGTGTTAAAAATAAAGTTCGTTGTGCATCATCATCATCCTCCTTCCCGAAGGATGTTGGAATCAATCAGAATTTCCTATTCCTCGACCAGTTTTTAATTTTGGAAAACCGTGGCCAACCGAAAAACCATGGTATTATTACAGATTCGCACTGTACAGATGGCAAATCCTTGTACTAAAGAAAGGAATTCGTTATCAATCTACGAGATCGCGCACAATAGAAAGAAGAAAAAAAAATTTTTTTTTGGTTTTTCGGCAGCTCTTACAATATGGTGCATCAAAATGGTTGACGTTTTCAATCATGATACCGAATTGTGAAGAAACCTCGTGATCATAACATAACAATAAGAGGAGCAAATTGCACGATTCATTCAACCCAAATTAATGATGAAATCTCTAGGGTGTCCAGACTGATATGCGTACAATTTGTAAGTTTCACGTAATTCATGCAAAACATAATAATGGCATATGCGTATAACAAAAGCAAATGCATATAGCAATTGTCAATATCTTAGCATCTAATAGATAAACAATCAGTTTCTTGGACAGTTTTTTTTTTTGGCACAACGGACCATTTTCAGAGAACATTCCTGGCTCATAGAATGATTCCATAGATCAAATGACAAGAAGGGCAACATTACCCATGAGCTTATTGTTAATCAACTCAAATAATCATCTTGATCTTCTATTGTATGCAAAAAGAAACAATATTAAAAATAAAAATAAAAATAAAGATTTTTTTATTAGATTAGATTTACAAAAATATATACACACAGTATATTAATTAATTGATGTTTTTGTAAATTTTGCTTGTTGTGACCAATAATGATTTATGCCTTAGGTACAGTACATGGATGGAAAATCAATTATGACATTTTGATCATGCAAATGTTATTTATTATTCCTATTACTGTTGCCTTCTTGGATGAATGTGAAATATGGGATATCTCATGTAGGAATGTTTGCCAAGAGAAATTGTGATTTGTGGTGGTGCAACAAGATTAATCAAAATTTATGTGACCTTCTCAATCACTACGCAACTGTCTATTATGAACAGGTTGAATTTACGCAAGAGAAAAAAGGTCCATCACAATCTTGGCTCAGGAATCATTCAGGAAATTATATGAAATTGTCCATTTCTGGTGTAGCGAATCGGTATGTAGCCCTGGGATAATTAAATCATGATTCAAAAATCACTATAATTTGATTGATCGCATCGTATAATTGAATGTTAGCACATTGTGTAAAAAAAATAATATAAATCCTTTTTCAAAACGCATTAGTCTCGCCACTCTAACACAAGGCATGCCGGAAGCGTTGTACGATAAAAAGCCGAACAATGATGAAACAATAATGACATATATGTTATAATAACGGAACGTTACACCCATTACATCATGATGCTAATGACATTTCCTGGGGATAGAAAATTAGATATAAATGACGTGTATACAATTGCTGCTTTTGAAATGGGCAAAAAAACACCGGATTCGAGAACATTGACATGTGAGATTATGGATACGATGGATGGTATTATGGTGATGATGGGATTTACTTACCCCGAAAACATAATGGTTAGCGTTCCCTTTTTATGGTTAATTCGACACACTTCATCATCAATTCATCAGTTGCGGTTCACCATCAGATTATTCGGCGAGAAGAGTTGCGGACGTCCAATTAATGATCGATGATGCATCCTTTGATCCGCCATGCGGCATGGATTTCCGGTTATCGTGTGATGTATGTATGTGGCTGTGATGTCTTCAGATTGTCTCAAATTTATCATCATCGATGTAGACGTATCTTTACCAGTCACATTACCCAAAAAAGTTTGTCATATCAAAAGTTTTTTTTTTTCTCACGTTTTCCGAGCTTTTCCACTCCGGTCTCTCACAAACCCGTAATTTGTGTCGCCTTGTGGTGACTTTCCAATTACGATGTTTTTAATAACGCGGAGGAAAGGTGGAGTATCAATTAAATTTTTTAATGGGGCACAAGGGTAACCACGTACGATAGATGTGTTTGATAATATACACATCATGCCCACGTCGACTCTCTTGCCTCGTGTTTCGATCTCCAAATGTCGTAAATTACGAGATTGCTGTCAAAGACTTTTAATGCAATTCGCACGTTTTTCTTTCCTGCGTTGGCATGTGAAAAAGCGGAGTTCAGTTAGTTGGTGAGACACGTTTCTTTGTCTTCCCGTTCTCGCGTTATCAAGTGTCGCCGCGACCGCCGTACCACAGACGAGTGGACGAGGCGGGGGCGACGAAAGTCACCCACTCACTCGATCACTCATTGAAGCTTCAAGTAAGAGTGATTTTCACCTTATATCTTAGTAAAAAAA